CGTTATGTCATATCATTTATACCAGAGGTGTGAGGAAAATACAGTGAACTGTGGAACGCCAATATCGTTGGATGCGCGTGGTAGAAATGGTCCTATAATACTGCTAAAAACATAGCTAAATTTTCATGGAAACACTGTACTTTTGACATTTGCGATACTCCGACGCATATGCATTATTAATGTAATCTCATGATTTTACAGTAATAGTTTTTGCAATTTTAGTGTGATTTTTAGGTTATTATGGTTATTCATTTTATTTGGTTCTGATCTTAGATAAAAGAGACCAGAGATATAACATACACCGGTTTTAAACCTGCGCAAATGTTGCCAATTTCTAAAGAAGGGTTAACGGAGTGGGGGAACTGGGCGGCGACACGCGGCGACCCGAACTCTGTGACAGGGACCGGACTTTGTTTATTAGCAACTTAATGAACTAATAGGTTTATTTAAAAGGTGTTTAATCGAATTTTGTATTATGAAATCAAATTATCGTGATTTTTTAATATCAAACAGATGCCACGACATTTTATGTAAAGAGAAGACCTTTTATAGAATATTTCGTTAGCGTTTATTTACTACGGACTTATCTGCAAGAGATTACAGTAAAATGTTGAAATAGAATATATTGTTAATAGAGCAAAAAATGTTACTCATTGTCTACGAGTATTATAAAAATAGCATGTGCGCAGGCTAATACTGCAAATCTACCCTTATGAGTTGAACATTATATTTTTTCTACGACTATTACATATTATTAAAAATTAGTCAAAATGAGAAAATGCTGTTTTGTATTGTAACCTCAGAAAAAGTATATTAAGGCTTCTTTCTTTAAGAATATTATTTATTATAAAGGATGAGTCACATAAAACTCTAGAAATGCATATGTCTGAAACCAGATAACATTTTAAAATTTAAATCTATTAAAAGTCATTTAGTCGCTAGGGATGAGTGATTATCGAAATAAATTATCGATAATTGAAAATAATCGATTGTTTTCGATCAATAGATTATTTTCAAACAATATATTTTTTGTCATTTCCTTTAAAATCGACTACTTGATTATCTTTGAAAAATCAAAAATAATCGATTAATTAAAAAGCCAATTAACCGATAAATCAGTGTTTACAAAATATAATATAAATAGAATTATCGATTATTTTCAAATAAACCATTTTTTTTTCGTCCATGGAAACAGATTATTCGATAGTCTTTGAAAAATCGAAAATAATCGATTAATCAAAAATAATCAATTAATTAAAAAGTCGATTAACTGATAAATCGATTAAAAAAAACAGAATGATCGATTATTTTAAATAATTGATTATTTTCGATCAATCGATTATTATCAATAATCTATTTTTATTGTATTTCCTTTAAAATCGTTAATTCGATTATCTTTTAAATACCGAAAATAATCGATAATTCCAAAATAATCGCCTAATCGAAAATAATCAATTAATTAAGAAGCCGATTCTATGATAAATCGATTATTACCAATAATCTATTTTATTGTATTTCAAAAATATTCGATTAATTAAAAAGTCGATTAACTGACAAATCGATTTAAAAAAAAAACAGAATGATCGATTATTTTAAATAATCGATTATTTTCGATCAATCGATTATTATCAATAATCTATTTTTATTGTATTTCCTTTAAAATCGATAATTCGGTTATCTCTGAAATACCAAAAATAATCAATAATTCCAAAATAATCGCCTAATCGAAAATAACCAGTTAATTAAGAAGCCGATTCTCATATTTCCTTTGAAATTGATTATTCGATTATCGAAAATAATTGATTATTAAAAAGCTGATTATCCAATAAATCGATAATTTTAAAAAAATAACCAAAATATCGATTATGTAAAATAACCGATTCAATCGATTATTTTCATATAATATCTTTGAAAAATCGAAAATAATCAAATAATTAAAAAACCGATTAAACGATAAATCGATAATTTTGAATAAATGTACTTTTTCTGTGTTTCCTTTAAAATCGATTAATACATTATCTTAAAAAAAAAACGAAAATAATTTATTAAAAACAGCGGATAAATCGATTTTCATTAAAAAATATCAGAATTATCGATAAATCGATTATTTTTGTAACCCCTATCGGTCGCTTGCTTTTATCTGAGCATTTAGTTCCAAAATTCGGATTTTTTGATCCAGTTATCTTTGAAATCGCATTCGCTTGTATAATAAATAAATATTGCTAAATTTTGGATTTTTTTTAGTAAACGAAAATTATGTTCGAGTTGTTTAGGGGTTTGTAATGTAACATTTTATTAACGTGACTAAGGGTTGATTCCACCGTTGTGTTAAACGAAGTTTAAAATGACATTTTTACATTAACACTGTCATTTTAATCTCCGTTTAACACAACGGTGGAATCGGACCTAACTCCTGTAACTTTAGTATTTTTTTTTGTTTATACTAGATTACTTTGTTTTAAGACTGAAAATTCAATGTCACTTTCGATTTGACCGCAAATAAGATGAACCTTGAAATTTTAAGTAGGTCATCCTGTATTTCATCTAATATTCTTATAAAAATACCTTATAAAAATAAAATTTAGCTAGCAACTATGATTCTTTACCTCTTATTTATCTACCAAAAAGGGCTAAAAACTACCTTTAGAAAACATTCTTATAAAACTACTATTTAAATACAAAATTTCGTTAGCAATAATGCCTATTTACTATTTATTTAAATTAAATGTTCAAAATTTTACCCTTTTGTAAATTTATGTAAGTAATATGAAATCTGATGCTTAATATTTATTGAAACCCCTTAATGCGGATCTGAAGTATTCAGCCCAGAGAATCATGGCGCTTTATGTCAAAACGTTAATAAATACTTACCGCTGAAAACGAATATATTCATAACAGTAGTACTTGTATTATAAGTACATACAATTTTTCAAGATACATCGTGACATTTTGAACTTGAAATTGAATAACTAGAACACTTTAAATTGCTAAAATACCAACAAATAAATCAAAAAACAGCTGTCAATGGTGATTAAACTCAGGTGGAGGTGTGATCGCTGAATGGAAATCGGAGCAATTCGGGTGGCGTCGTGCAACAATGATTTTCAATTGGTGGGTTACTTTGGCTTAAAATAGACAGCATGCGCAGTGTGCAATGTTACATCTTCGGTCTCTTTAATCTAAGGTTCTGATCTTTTGCGCTTTTAGAGTATTTGTCTTTTATATAGTTTTTAATTTGAATTTTAATATTGTTTATTTATATTTGATTGCTGCTTTTCGACTATTGCTTTATTCTTTTTGTGTTAAAATAATTTATAACTATGCTTCTAGTTGATATCTGCCTAATCGTCATCGGGTACTTGCAACAATGGGAAAAAGTGTATGGTTTTTTTGGTGTAAAGTTAGATGCTTAATTTTTCAGGTATTTGTAGTTATTTTTTACTTAAAAGGATAGCAATACGTCATGGTTCGGGGTGTGACTTTTGGGTTTTAGCTATCTGAGCCAAATTGTCGGCTAAGTGTCCTCTTTTAGGGCACCCAGAACCGAAAACTATATAGATATATATGTTTTTTTTTTTTAATTATTTTTTAATATGTATGCAGCTTGGATGAGGGCTTTAGGAAGAGATTCTAAGACTGAACACTGACTGCTATAAATGCCGTTTTTAGAGCACATTTCATAGTAAGTGATTTCATTCTAGCAGCAATGAGGAAACGTTTAAAAAACATGCTGTACCAGCTATTACTTTAAGACCTCGTCTCTTTAAGTTATTATTACTTCATTCTAATGCATGTATTAAATTGGTTTTTAACTTATGTCCTTATGATTAAAAGATGTAGGTATTTTAGTTATGTTATAATAGAAATATATGATACTTTGTATTGACTGACCTACTGGCCACTGGTCATTCCACTTTTACTCCCTTTTTTCATAAATTATCAAATTATTTAAAAACAAATACATACCTAGCTATTTTCTGTAAATTACATTAAAATTTTAGTATTAATACTTTATTAATAAAACTTCAGTTAATTTATCTTATATATATATACACAACGGAAGAGTTAATTGGATTTTCTCCTTGTTGAGTTTCAAAAATAGTAATTTAACATGATTTAAAAACAAATACATGAAATGGGCAAACTAGGCCTGCAAAGGGACTTTGTAAACAGTCTCACTTGTATCGATGTGACGTAATGCGCGAATTCAATCTGGCTTACTTTTGTTAATAGATTGGTGTTCCATTTTAAATATACAGTTCACCGGAAATAGATTATTTAAATATACACGGACCGGGAAAACAAGTACGAAAAAATTCACTGGCTCCTGGACTAGTACTGTATCGAAGGAATTTTTATGAATGAAACAATATACGACCCTCCACAATTGCGGTCTACTCTACTTCCGCTGTTGTTAGACATTATTTTTTTTTGGACAATTTAAAGACCTAACAGTAATTCAAGCAAACGCAATAACATTACTACAGTTAAAAACATCGCAAACTTGGCATCAATATTTTAATTTTATCCAAATATTGCATTTCTGTCGAGGATCATCCGCGTTGACTTCAGAAATTGTGTAATCTGTATTGGTTATATATATCTATAGTTAAAAGCACGTAAACTTGGCATCAATGTTCAATCCGATTATTGAGGTTCTACCGCGGACACCACCGTTCATTCTTCAAAAATTTTGTAAATAATGCTATTGTTAAATATGCTAATCCCCACTCCAACAATAAATTAAATAACTTATTGTTTCTGTATTCTGTATTTATTCTATCTTTTATAAAATTCGAAACATTATAAACCATTTTAAATAACAACTAGATAACACTACGATGCACTTTATCCTTGTTGTTACTTGTCTAAATTTGTTCCTAGACAAGGTTTAAAAATGTAGATGTAATTCTAAAAAATCGTTATGCATACTTAAAATCAAGACGTTTTATTTTTAATATAAACAGGGTATTTTTTATTTATTTAAGAAATCCGCATACTTATGAGTATGGACATTTTAAAAAAAATTCTTATATAAGAAATTTGATTTTAATTTAAATCTCATTACCTTTTAATCTAAAAAAATATTCGTTTATTGTAGTAGGTGTCTATTATTTTGCTAAACTGTTTAAACCTAGTTAGGAATAAACAACACAATTTTGCTTCGTGGAGTTTTAAAAGTATTTCATTATTTTTATTGTCATATTATACCTACATAGGCAATAATTAACAAAGTGTATTCTAAAATAGAAAGTCAATATTATAAAGGTCTTTAATTGATGTGATGCTAATATATTTTGATATCCGGGATTTCAGTTAATTTAAGTTCAAACGTTTGTTTAAATTACGCGATTAAGCACAACATTCACTTTAACTATTGTAGATAATAATTGGAATGATCTAAATTCAATAAATTTCTGTTTTCCATACTCAAATAATATCACTAATAATTAATTATTAATTGATAGTAAAACACAAAATAAGCCGAATTGAATGTTTTATTCAATAGCGGTATGCTATAGAATAATGTATCATAATTTGAATAATTAATCGTTTTGTGAATTAATTTTATTAATAGCTTTTATACTAAGTGCAAATGCATGACATATTTTATATGTGAATTAGTCTTTTGTATAAAATTCTGAATTTTTTTACAGAGTGTACCTAAAAATTGGGTCTAACAGTATCTATTATCATTTTTTGGTTTTGTAACAATAATATTAGAAGGAAAACGTTTTAGTTAAATAATTTTTTATCCGACTTTTCCAAAAAATTTATTTTTTTTAACTATATTTTACTGTTTTTTATTTTTTTTACAGTTTTTTCTTCTAGTTTTTTAACAATTTTTCTTTCAGTTTTTTACAATATTTTTCTTAATTTTCATTTAATTCTTTTATAATTTTTTATTTTTTTTTTCTTAATTTTTTTAAATAAAATTACCCCTTTCTAAAAAAATATTGTAGGTTTTGCTAATAGTATCCCAATTGTTTTTTGAAAAATTACTCCATTTTTCGGGATATTTACATTTTAAAAAAATTAACAAAAAAGTTTTCTTTAAAAAATACCTTTTTCTTTGACTTACCCATAGAAATAGTATAGAAAGCCGATTCCATATATCAAAAATGAAACCATAAGGAGAAAATAGTGTGTCGGAGCTCATGCGTATAATGGTGATGGCGCGAACAGGACCGGTGCAAGTTTTTTATTGATCGAACAAATAGTTCGCACGATATTTCAATCATACATTTTTAGAGATGATTCTATACAAAAAACGATTAAAAAAATTTCAAGTTAAGGTAAATATGGTTCTGACAGTCCTTATTAAGAAAGATATGGCATAAAATATGAATTAGTTAATTTTCGGCAATCATTAGTACAGTAGTCATGAGATTTTGCTTGTGATTTTAAAAATACTTTCCAGAAAAACCACGTGCTCCGGTTTTGACTACGTTTATTATTAAACAGCGAAATTATATACAAAAACTTTAATCCACAATCTAAATTAGGTACTATCACAAGAAAATCACTGTTACAATAATTAATTACTTAACCAAAAACTAAAATACTTTTTAGGTACCATACGTAACCAGAAAGGAGCTGGACCATTTATCCTAATATTGATTTTCTCTCTCCCTACGGTAAAACTTAAAACAATAACAAATTGCCTATCTACTAGGGTCGGTAACTAAACGTATATACATAATGGGCGGATTTTGTTTATACTTAACATTACACTCGCGCATTTAAATATAACTATGCATATAAATATTTACAAAGATACTTTTCCAAACAGGCAATCATTAGTACTGTAGTCACGAGATTTTGCTTGTGATTTGACATCTTATTTGATAATATTTGCTACAACTAAATTTAATCTGGGGAGTGCAAAATAGGGCCCAGGAATATTATGTTCGATATTTTTTTACATTTTGTCAGCCGAGACTATGAGTCGTTAGACAGAAAACCTTTCATGTTACCATTTTCAATATAAATTAAAAAATTAAAAAATACTACTACATTTACTTGGTACATATTTTATTTTAATTTTGAACCCTTTTAAATGGGTCTTTCGGTTCCATAATAAAAATTAGTTGCTGCTTACTAGAAACATTCTATATAGCCTAAACCAATTTATAGTTTGTTTTCGATCAATTTAATACAAAGATTTAAAGTTTTTAGTCGATGATAACATTCCACACCAGCACATTGCAAACCTATTTTATAAATAATAGGAATAAACTTGTAAATCATTAATTTGGTAGTTATCTCACTCATATGATTTTTTTGTTTATATGAATATTTCGATTTCTAAATATATTTTGGCCTTACAATACGAAGCGTTTTGTAGCTACCACTTTTTTAATGAACGATGAATGTTGACAGGCGTGTACCTTTTTCGGAACAAGAGGCGTTTTAACGAAGGAAATGATTTTCGAACTATCTAGTTAGTTTTCGGAAAAATAGAAAACGTTTGAAGAAAGTTGTCAATAACAGTTTGTCGTTCATGTGTTTCATTTTGATCAGCTTTCATACTAAATTGCGTAGAATATTTTTCCGATTCAAAATCGAGATTCTCGATATTTCCACAGTTTATTTATAATAGCTTCTAAACTGGATTTATCTATCATTTTATATACTTTATAATATATGTTCATGCCCTACTTTTCACTTTATTAACAATTTTTTTTTAACATACTTCAAAATGGTAGGATATTCTCAATTCGTTGAAATATTTTTTTATGTATGTTGAGCGATAATTCTTTACCACGTTGCCCGATTTCTAGGATTCTTTTTGTTAGAAAAGGAAACAGTTTTATATACATTAAGTCAAGATCTGAAGATGGAATCCATAAGAAAATCATTAACATCTTTATTTTTAAAGTAGGTTTTTTTTAAATTTCTTTAAACCTTACTGGTTCGAACGCCGTAAGGAATGAAGAAATGTAAATAATTGTTGTGCCAGCCAAAAAACGAAGAGGAAGTACCGATTAAAATATCGAGTGACAGAAGAGTTCCGAAGATTGTTGAGATCGGGTTTATGTTTTAAAATGCCTTAAAACCGATATCGATAATGTCTCCCCGTCGCTGGGCAGCCTGTATATAAATATACAGATCTCTATTTACATAATTATAATTCTTAGGTAGGTTTAGATTTGCAGATATAAATCTTGTAATAAATATAACAGCTGCCTAATACATTGATTACATTTTCATTAGCCAATGTAAAAATGTCTTTTATTGTACCTAGGATTTGACTAAACACTACACAAAACTAAAAATAAAATGCCACTTTCATCGTGTAATTAATGCCGCGTTTGAGAATCCACATCGGATGCATTTTTTACATCTCGAGCGTTTTTTATCCACATCGGACACATCTGTCCCATTACATTTACGTATACTGAATCACGTGATCAAAGATTTACTACTTACTACATCTCAGATGCATCCGATGTGGATTCTCAAACGCGGCATAAATAATAAACTACAAACGATCCTGTAAGGGCAGCGTCATATAGCCTTGAAACACCGGATTTTAGTGCTATTGCCAGGTCAATATTGAATTTGTAGGTGAATCGCTTATTGAACATTAAAAATACGGCATTAATGACATTAATACGGTATTTGTATATATTTTTGGGAATGTAATTACACATAAATATTATTAGTTGATTATTTAAATGTTTATAAGTTATTTTGTGGCGATATTTCGTAGATATAAACTGTTTAAATCATATAATTTAAAAATTAATTAATTTAAAATTCTTTTCTGTTAGGTATGTTTAATATATTTGGCAACACTACAGGGACAAGTCATGCTTATTGCGCAAGCTTCTAGACACACTATTTTGCGATGTCAGGCGCAGAGACGCGTTTTTATGCACAGTAGGTTTCAATTTCTGATTAAATGTTATGTTTATATTGGTCTTTTATATTATTTCTATGGACTTACCTCAATTTTTAATAAAAAAGTTAGCCCTCAAGAACATACCCCTATCTTTAAACAACATATTTAATTTTTTTGGGATATTTACTGAATTAATTTTTTTAAAAAAATTCCCATTTTCGGAATATTTACATTTTGCCTAAATTACAAAAAAATATCTCTTTTTTCAAAATTGACCTTAATTATTAATTGAAAAATTACTCCCATTTTATAATACACCGATGGTGTAGAGGGATGTATACTTCAAATACAGAAAAAGTCAAAACGTTTTTGAACTCATTATCTTGCATGAATTTGTCCACGACAGGAGTTTTAATGAGTTTAAAAAAAAATAGAAGATATAATTCCTCGAACCAGTGCAATCATCCACTCCCACTGTATATCGAACTGGGATTTCTTTCTATTGTCATGCACTGGGGAACTCAAAACTCCTTCCGAAGTGTTTACGGCCTCGAGAATAATTACCACTCCACAAGTCTTCTGCGGTGTACCCGGAGTAAAGTTGTTACTCAAACATGTCGTTATTTTCTTTACGAAGACATTCTGCCAAAAACAAAAGCGTGTTTGGATTTTCCCGACAAAACAAAAAGGTATATTTGGATTTGCTCGTGCGAAGCATATAAGTTTGATGGCTTGCCGTTATTGTTTCTGAGAGATTGTGTGTGTGATAGAATGTTCGTAACAGTAGAGGGCGTAGAAATAATAAGAAATATATTTAGCGGTTTCAAAGTGATTTAATTTAATAATTCTTTAATATAAAGGGTTTCCCAAAGTATAAAATTGAAAATAAAATAAAAGAAAATGAGAAATATCGTTTAAACAGTTTCCGTCTGGAAAATAAGTGGCAGCACCCAGAAGCAGGTACTAAAGTATACTATTTTTAATAATAAAGTGTTAAATACTATCAATACCCCCCACTTTATTACCACCAAGCCCGACGAAGAGGGGGGGCAGCTGTAAGAAAAATATGAGCTAAGAACATTTTTTGTAAGTTTGACAAATAAAGGACCTAATTTAAAAAATGCCCCGGGCCCACTATGGTTCTAGATGGCCCTAATTACCACTATCA